GTCCAAAGAGTAACTCTGTCCCGCCGCAGATTTATACTCTCCAGGCTCAACAGAACTACTGGCAGAAACTGCTGCTGTTTGCACTATGCTCGCTCGCGCTTCCAAACAGGCTGTCCGGGCTCTCTGCGTTTTGGTCAACCTGGTACGGAGATGGAGGATACTTCTGGCCAAGTGCATCATATAAGGATTTCTCAGCAGCTCGTAAAGCCAGAGGATCAGGGAACATGCTGGGCTTCTCCTCCATGTTCTCTTCCAGAGTATCTGGTTCAGATACCTGAGCACGGGATCTGAGTCACCATCATCTGGAGAATCCACCTCAGAGCTCCCAGTTGAGAAAGCAGGAAGATTACCAGTGCCAGGAGTGGGTGAGAAAGAAGATGTATCCACGAAATTAAGATCTAGAGCATTGTCACCAAATTTGAAGCCATTCAAAAGATTAGGAGACTCCTCGAAACTTGGTAAAACAATCTCATCCTCGAATTTGAAACCGTTAACAGAATCAGGCAATTGGTTAAACCGTGGATCCATGCTGGCATAACCCTTGAAACCCTGTTTTCAAAATACACAACGAAAAAAATAGTTCGATGAGCAAGTAAGCCCTAATCCTTAATCACAAAATTAGCAACGCGGCCAAATAAATCCTAGCTATCAAATTACCAATAAAAGACTAATAATTAAAAAAATAACAACTAAAGTATTCGCTCAAAGATAGTCCAATCACAAGCATTCAACACTTAATCGCATATTTAATTTTGTACTCCTACGTTAGACTGCATGAAATAGTGGACTAAAAAAGAAATCATTTCTATCGCTAGAGCACTAAAATTAAAGCATGGAGGACATCAGATACAAGTCATAAAATCTCTACCGTTTCAGAAACAAAAAAAAAAGATACAAATTCAATAAAATGAAGAAACTAAAATAAGATCAAAGAATTTAAGAGCCATGAATTAAATGACAAATTTAAAATTTAATCGAAATTATACGTGCATATCGAATCTCTAAAATGATTTTCATGAACAAAAAAATTAATTCCCACACATCAATTACCAAAACCATAAAACATGGCGAACGGAGAAGTAACAGAACCCACCAAAAATTAACACACCGAGAACTACAACTAAGACAAACCCACAAATTTCAGGAACTAAATCAACCAGAAATAATAAAAAGAAAACCCCTAAAACAAACACCAAACTGATCCCCGACTACAAAGACATGATTCTTAAACTATCAAAACATGATGCTAAAAAAACAAAACAGAAGCCAAAACGTAAAATAAATTTCTCATCTCTTTCTTGCTTTTTTTTTTTTAGATGGCGCTCTATTGATGTTTTTCAGGGCAGAGCTGTGCGTACCTGGACAAGGCTTCCAGAAGTGAAAGAGAAAGGAGAGGACCGAATATCAAGGCAGTGGAATGGGCACTTTAAGCTGATTATCTTCAGGAGAAAGAAAGAAAATAAAGAGGGAAAAAGAAAAAGATAGTCTTACTAGAGACTATAACTAAAACTGGAGCTTGTATCCAACTTTCCCTATTTATAGAGATAGGGAAGAGCAGAATAGTCGAAGAGATAGATTTACCACTACTGTAATCAGAGGAAGATTCGCTGAAGCAGGGGTGGTCAATGTGAATGGTGAATGGTGAATGGTGAATGTTTGGGACTGGGAAAGAGAAGCTGTAAACCGGCGGTGATTTTGATAGCGATTTGCAGAAAGGGGGTTTTTTGGGATATAATAATATCACCAGCTGCTGCTAATCACACAGCCACCATTCACTGTTGCTTGGAAGCATTTGGATTCCACTTTCCATGGCCTATCAAATAAAAGTAGTATGGGTTTGATTTTTTTTCTGAAGCAATCAGTATGGGTTTGATTGATCGGGTCATCGTATGGAAATTTATTCGGTCCCGTGGCTTGAGGATGGGGTTACTTGTTGCGCGAGACAGATAGGATGAGATAATTCTCAGTAGTTATCTCACCTTTTGACTTTTCCTTGGAAAATTGAAATGCGTCCTCTCGTTAGCTGTATTTGGCTCTAAGGTGTCAATTTGACACTTGCTAAGTTGCCGATTGCACCTAGGATTTACGCGGCCTGTTTGTTTGTCAAACAAGTTTTTGATCAAATTATCTTTAAATTTTTAATAATTTTAGCTGTAGTAATTCAAAAAAAATTTCAAAATTTTTAAACTATACATTAAAATATTTAAAATTTACTCACTTCAAAAATTTTTCTACAATTTTTACAAAATTACAATAAATTTTAGATAAATATTCAAAAAATTCATTTGCAAACGGCCAATATACTTACGTCAAACTGACTTACCAAATTTACAATTTACCCTCTCTTGTACTGTCCAATAATTTAGATATTTTCCCAATTTAATCTCATCTTTACAAATTTCAACAAATTAACAATTGAAACTCACTTTGATAAGTATCTATTCTGCATCGGTCCATGCGTAACTAGAGGTAAGCATTTGGATCTTGGACACTAGTAAATGAATAGCAGCCTAGCTTATGATGTTTTGACAGCGACGCTTTGGAGACTGCTATTTCCATTGTTTGAGTGTGAATGAGTTGAAAATATTTAGAAAAAAATTTCAAGGAAGGGAAATTGCGATGAAATTAGCGCATTCTTGTGCTCTGAAATTAATTCGGTGAAATGGAGTCAATATTGTGAGTCCCATTGTAATGAAAAAAAAAATTATTCCCCTGTCTCACTTTTATAGTCTTGATTTTTTTTTTTATACATAGTTTAAGAAAATTAGTTAATTTTATTGGAAGAGTAAATTGAATTTATCATTTTTTTAAAATGCCCTTACATTGTCTATTCGGATTCCTATTTTGTGAAATTTTTATTGAAAAATTATAGCAGTAATTTGATGTACACGAAATAAAAAGATAGTTGAAAATGTGTTTACAAAAAAGTATAAAATTTTTGGGTCAAAAATGCCAATAAATTTGAGAGGAGAGAGGGAAGGGAGGAGGAGGAGAAAGAAGCTATATAAGGGGACAGCAGAGGAAGAGGAGGAGGGAGATAGCAACTAATTCATTCAGCCCCATGTTGCTATTTATCGCTTCTTCTAGTTTGTTTCTATTTTTTGTTTTCAGGACAACTGAGCTAATCGTCTTTCAATATGTCGATAGTACCCTTTAGCTTCAAAGATTATGATCCTAAGAAATCAAAAGATGAAGCCAAAAAAAAAAAAAAGAGCGTCTCCAATTTGTACTTTGTACTCCTACTGATTTATGTCTAGCCCATTGTTTTGTTGCGAAGACAGAAGATCTTGCTGCCCAAGTTTCTTTGAATAGCTGACGTTTCTTGAGTTGAATGGTCAATGGAGGAACTCTTCTACATTATTTATTAGTTACTACTTACAAAATACATATATATATATATATATACATACATACATATACGAATCAAGTACTGATATCTATAGACCAAGTAACACAAAAAATAATACGCAGTGTTATAGAACATGGAAATGGACCGTGTAATTGACAATTCAGTCTTAATTAATTAAACTGCGTTGGACAAGAACTATAATATTTCAAAAAAAGCACATGGAATCTCGTGGGAAGTAAGTATATATTTTATGTCAGCAGATAACGCCATCGGGCATTAACATAATAGGCGCCATCGATAACATGTACATGATACTCAGAGTTTCGACCGAGAATACATTGGTTTGAATTGTAATTATGTTTATCTTTGTAAATGTATCTTTTATTCGTATTTTTATTTCACACATAATAATAATATATTTTTCTTTAAAAACTTCTAAAAATAACAACCTGGACGAACATAACATAAGTACTGCTGCTTGAGCCGTTGAACAACGTACGTGCCTGTCAGCATATATAGGTACGTTACGTAGTTGGACGGACAGATCTTTACTTTGATTATTCGGTCAGATGGAAGGTACTGATAATTGTACGGATAGCTTCAGTGATGCGAAGTTAGTTGCCCTTACCCTTTTATTGAGGTTTGGCACTAAATTGACAGAGAATGTTCTGAACTTTTCGCCGAGAACTAGAGATTAGGGTTCAGAGAATGCATCCATCATCATCATCTCGAACTAAGTATGATAACCAAAAATAATTCATGAAGTTCCATAAAAGAATTCGAATACTTGCATAATTGTTGAAGAAATTAGCCGAATGGTTTCCCATTAAGGCTAAACTACATCACTGGACTGGAAAAAAAAAAAAAAGAAGAAGTAAACTCGGTCTAAACATAACTGCACTGGCAGGAGCTGTAGAAGAATATAGAAAAGTATGGACTTGTTCAACGGTGGCAATGGAGCTTCCTTGAGAAAATCAGCAAGTAACCAATCCACCATTATGTGGTAAGCCTCTTGAGTCATATGAATTCCATCCCAGCTGACGTATCTGTAGGATCAGGGCAAGCTGTAGCCCCTGCATATCCACACATTCTCGTCTGATTGAAGTTGTACTCCCCTCCTCCTCCACAGCAAGCTCTTTGTAGCTCAAAACCTAGTCCAAAAATTTGTCCACAATATCCACATGATGTTTCGCATCATTATATACCACCCTCCTAGAAAGTCAAATTGGTACAAGTACAAAGACAGCCTTGCAGACGTACCTCTAGATTTAGCTATCTGGAGAGATGTTGAAATGCACCGTAATAGTCCCCGTATGCAATGTTACCTGTGGGTTCTCCTTTTGCAGTTCGAAATTGCCTTTCTTCAGCAGACTATTATGGAGTGTGGCAAAGCTGTTTAATCCCTTCAAGCAATGATTCCGTCATAGTCGTCTGGATTGTCTGTGTTGAAGCCTGTGAGATAAACTGGCAGACACCCAATTGGAAAGTCCCAGGAACCACTATTCCCTTGCTCCAAAACGTATGACCCCCTGAATAAATATATCATGGATAAGACAAGGAGGAAAAAGAAAATAAAAGAGCAATTAGAGCGAGAGAATAAAAAGTAAGCAATGCTACTAATAAGAAACCAGGCTGCAGAAGCTAACTCAACAGCTTTCTTGATTGAGGCAACAACTTGAGGTACGAAGTCTAGAATTTCAACTTTGCGTTTGTTGCTAAAGAATGCATAATTATAATCGTTGCCTCCGATTTCACCCACCATAAAGAGAGCGTTTCTTAGCTTCATTTCACAGTCTGTATATATTTGAAAAAAAAAAAAAAAATGGAACGGAACAAAGAGAGAAATTCAGTGTCATGCACAAAAAAGTTAATAATAAAACTGGTATTTTTTTTGGGACAAAAAATTGAATAGAAACTAAGTAAATACTAAGTTGCATACGTCTCTGGCTGCCGCAAAATTCGTGAAAGTGATCTTCATCCATTCCAGTTGGACGTCGAGGGAACTATGGTCACTGGATTTCTAACCTTATGACGAGCGAGAGTAGCTGATGACAGTGCTGTAGCACCGGCCACCGCGAAGTTTGCTCCGTGCATAAAACTGGCCTTTGCATCCTTGATAGATTCACAAGAGGTAGACCTGATGCCAGCGCTGTATTAAAGCAATACATCAAATATGCAGTCAGCTGATATCGCAGCTTCATAAACAGGCAATACACCTTTGGCAGTTCAAGCACTGTTTCAGAACAAGGTATAACGGCCAGAAACAAGAACAAAGTGCAATCCCAGTGTGACAATTGTCATACTTACCAATTCCATGCATATTTTCTTTAAGAAGAGGCGAAAAAGATTCGGAAAGCATACATCGAGGAATCACCAGTAAACATCAGTAGTAGACAGCAGATAATACTAGCGCTGTAGGCTTAACTGAGTAAATGTCTTAGTGGATGGGTTACAAAAATTGTGCATGGTTTTTCAGATATAGGAGGCAGCTGAGAACTGTAATAGTAGTGGATAATTTGTAATTTTAATTCCTTATACACTGGATTAAAACGGCAATAGTTTCAATTTTTCCGTCATGCGTGCTACTAATTTGGCATCTAAGGCCTCCATGCAAATTGTTTAAAAAAAAACCAGGTTATGTCCCGAAACAGAAAAACAAATACTGACTGTGTTGATAAAAAGCAAGTGCATGCAGGTTCAAAACAAGAAGAACTATACCAAAATAATAATAATATTCAAAATAAGTTTGAATCGTTAAACACAATTAAATAAAAATTCGCAATAACAAGTTGGCAATAGCTATAAGAATTAACAGCGAGAGGAGGAGACAAAAGGATGTTATTTTACCAATGTAGTCAATCATAAGAAGCCCGTCGGAGCAACGGCCGGTGGCTTCGTGGGTTAGTAAGGTCTGACCGTAGGGGCTCGGGCGAAAGGTAAAAAGGCTCCAAGTGGAGATTCCCGAATCAAATTCCCAGCGTCTGATATGGAGTCCCCGAGTTGGTAGATTTGATCAAAGTGACAGAAAGCCAGAGGATGAGCGTCAGCGGATGGTGGAGGAGAAACAAAAGCAAAGCTGCTGATGCAATAACAAAGAAAACAACAATGGTCCCCTTGACAGCCATTATTGCTCCCAAAAGAAGAAACCAACCAACAGTGGTGGTACTAGTACGTAGCGTCGATCGGGGGTTGCTTGGTATTTATAGAGGATGCATATGTAAACCTGTGGGAACAAAAGTTGGAATCGTAGCGGGATTGGAAAGTGGAAACCAACTGGAGTTTGGTCATGAACCAAAGATTAAATTAACTAACCGGAATTAGAGGATGGTAATTTAAGTGCTACTACATACGTATGCGAATATAGGAGGCGTACGTTGGAATTGACTTCTAATAGGAAACCAACTGTGGAGTTGGTCTCCAGATGCAACTCTCAGAGATTCACCCACCAGTTTTACTGACGGAATTGACTTCGAGTTCTTTTAGCTTCAGGCCATCTCCTAATCCTAATCCTTATCCTACCCTTATTCAAAGTATAGCAACAAATACATACTACGTGCGCATGCATGGGCATGGGATTGAAGTATAGCATACCGCTCCCCGACGCCCTGCTGATCAATTGCCAAATCCAACCGTGTCTACTGACCATCACGCTTAAAAGGTTGCATTTGTTAATCATCTTCCTTAACCAGCTAGGTCCTCTCCAATAATAAGCAGAATTCCACGAATTAGCGGTGGATGTTTTGTTCGAGGCTGTTAACAGATATACTCTCCCCGCTGGCCCAGGGGTGCTTCCCACTTGAGATCCTCGGTGACAAGTTTTCTATGCCAATTCAATGCCACCTCTAGCATTCCGCGCCAAGTGTCTTATTATTATTTGGGGCTTTAATTTTCTAATAATCCAAATTGGTTTGGTTTAACAAAATTTTCCCTCAACCTCTAAGACTTTGAACTGACCGGTCTAATTTTTCTTCCAATTTTGAGAGAAACGACAACCTGGGAGGCTCAGATTCTTGGTCCTCATCTGGTCGGCCTCCACGGATATCTGAATGCCGGGAAATGCAGAGGATCTGAAGATCGGGATGCAGATTAACTCGGGGATGTAGGGAAAAGGAATGCTGCTACAATTCAGACCAAACTTTCTGCAAGAATAGTTGCAGAGACCAAGATGACATTATTGGTATTCAAAATCTGCCCCCAACCTTTTGATCCAAAAACAAAAAAATGTGAAACGAAAAACCACCGGATGCCCACGTGACCGGTCTAACAGGATTATTCATTATAGCACCAAGAAACAAAATGTAATTGCCATTAGCATGAAAACGCAGTCAGAGGAGGAGGTATTCTTTTGGGGAAAATGTAATTGCCATTAGCATGAAAACGCAGTCAGATCCTCTTTGGAATGGTGACACAACATTCAAGACCTTTCTTCAACTTTCAACTTATTGGACAAGGTGCGGCAATTTTGTTTAGGGTTATCTTTTTCTTTTTCCCCAAAGCAACCAATCTTGAGTGGTTGCCGTACAAAAGTATTGGAAGAAAAATTAGACCGATCAGTTCAAAGTCTTAGAGGTTGAGGAAAAATTTTGTTAAATCAAATCAATTTGGATTATTAGAAAATTAAAGCCCCAAATAATAATAGGACACTTGGCGGAATGCTAGAGGTGGCATTAAATTGACATAGAAAACTTGTCACCGAGAATCTCAAGTGCAGGCTTCCCCGTACGTCCGCTCATTTTTTGTAGCGGAAAGCTTTAGCTCTTGACTCAACTTGCATTCGGGACTGGATTAATAAGGAGATCATAACCACAATCTCCCTCCCAAGTTCAATTAGCTAGGAGGCAGAGAGAGCAGCGGTGATCGTGTACATTGGCCATTTATATGGAGCTGTTGGGGCAAAACCAAAAAATCGCACCAACAGGCTTTTCAACTATTTGAGCACGTACAGCGCAGCCACATTTGGTAAATCTTATCAAGACAAAAATATGTCATCACTTGTCAACTGGGCAGAGTCACCATGTCAGATTGCTTCAACGAGAAAGAAAAAGATCATACCGCATGCAGGACGGAGTAACAAAATTTGCCAAAGCACCAAGAACCACAACGAAGCAGAGAAAAGCAAATTAAAAGAAAATAGAAATAGTTTCAAGGATAAACAGACACTCCCCATGATTCTTTAAATAACAGACGCAGTCTCGCATCATAACAAATTTACAATGGAATATATGCTACAAACAATGGACACCTCCCAACCTAAGAAATAATTATCCTCGTTAACTAACTGAGCATTATCAAAATGCAATATCTAGGCACTAAAATGTTTCTGTTAGTGAGAGCTCTTATTATATCAACCATTTACAAAAAGTGACAAACCTCCCCATGCCGGAAACTACAGTGATCCCAAGAGATGGAAATATTACATAACTAATTTACTCCCACGGTCATACTTTTTACATAGTTGTATTAACGAGAAAAGCAATTAGAAAACCCCTCTCTAAGGCCTTCTATTTTGCTATTGCTTTCCCCCCTGTATGCTGTGTTAGGTACTCAGAAGGCGGCAAGCCTCAGATTGCTGTTTGAACTGTGGCTTGACTTGCTGCTGTGACCAGTAAGCATGGGCAGTCAGGACTCTGTCCAACAGCTCCTGGGGCACAGGCTCGCCTCTCCTTTGTTGAGGAGATATTCTTGCTGTGTGCACCAGTGTTTTCCACTTATCCTGAAGGAGAATAGGGATACAAATTAAACAGGAAGAACAATGAAACTTCGGAGTCTGAGCCTTGAAACTGCAAAGAGAGTATGCCTTTCAATCTAAATGTAGAAGAAAATGAATCTTACCTTCAGATCAACATAAGTTCTGTGTTTGGCATTGTCAAAAGCTCGCAACTTAACATCACGCCATCTGCAACATGAAAAACCAACTTGTGGGGCCAAATGAAGAAAAGAAACATAAGAGACACGCATCTATGGAAGCATAGATCAATACGCACTTCAAAGAAGAGAATGTGCTAATTTACAAAAGCCAGAGCATCCTCGTAACAAAACATAGCTAATTTCAACACACCTTCCCGTGCCAAGCTTCTCAACAGCCTGCACTAGAGCTTCAACTTCAGAAACAGAGAATGGTCTACGAATGCGACGCTGTGCAGCCTCCGATCGCTTCGACTTCCGCATAGGAACCACACTTAGGGCCTCCACGTTCATAGCTGGAACAGCAACTAATGCTCTAGAATCCACTGTGCTTTTCTCCAATGACATTTCAGGAGGGAGGGAGCCGAATCATGATCACTTTCAACCAAGTTGCTCAAATTTGTTCCTGGAGGATCTGGCGAGGCATCTGAAGTCCCCCGAAGCAGTGCAGCATTAGCAGTTGTACTTGGAGTAGGTGGATACCTAAAGATAAAGCGCAATCTCTCATCAGTGACAAAAGAAGGGAATCTATGGTTCCATCAACCTATCAAATTCCAATCAAGAACAGACAATATACCATCCAGTGCCTAACTGGCACATCAATAAGCGTAGCAGGCATGGCATACATTAGTTGCTGAGCAGCAAGTGGGCAGGTGAAGAAAGGACAGTATGCAAAGTTTCAGATAGTAAGTTCTCAATGTAAGGTTTAAAGGCGTTTTTCCATACAAACAGAAATAATACGAGGAAAATGAAAGCAACAGCAGTATACAGGGTCAGCACATATACGACTTCCAGAAAGGCATATTGAATATCTAGAGTACCTTGATAGTGGTTGTGGGCTATCACAAGAAAGTAGAAATGGGTGATCTTCTAGAGAGACAGGTGGGGGAGCTTGAGAAAGGTTTGGCTCCAAGGTAAAACCCAGAGCATCTAGCTTGTTATCATGGGAAATTCCAGTCTGCAATAAAGTTTTGTTATCATCTCTGATCTTCTTACCCTGAAGAAACACCAACACGCAATTCACCGCTAAGTATTGCAGTAACTGCCTCCATAACTGTTTTCTGCAGATCATTAAAGCAGCATTCATTAATAACTACTTTGACATAAAGATTTGGAAAAGATTGGGTGAGGTTCAACAACAAATTAAAAATTAAAAAAAAAAAAAATCCATGTCCTGTGGATGCTTCAGAAAAATGTATACGAAGCAAAGGCACCCAGATGACTGAAAGATAACAACGTTAAACTGCACTCTCAAATCAATTTGGATTCTTCAGGGGAAGATGATTCCAAAAGATTCCAAGATGTCTGTATTGTCAGTTAACAGAATTCATTTAAGCTTGCCCTTCGAAGCAACAGTTTCCACCATAAGAGGAAAGCATCTTGCCCCATTCATGCATGCAGTTTCTCAATTGAGGTAGCTCATAACATGACAAACCCCATTGCCTGTAATTATCTGTGACACTGTTATGCAGGATGTTACTTCACGAACATTGAAATAGATTTTTCATACCTTCAAAGAACCAACAGTTGCAGTTTCTGGAATCTCGATAAAGAATTCTGGAACCCTGAAAGACTTGATCTTTAGCTTAACTGAACAACAGAAAAACATGTGTTAGAGAAACTCTTTAAAGGTCAGGCACTGGTTAAACAAATACCCCTTCTGAATCACTCGTTGAAGGATCTCATACCTTGGGAGTCCTTAGACTTGAATGCTGCATGTTCACTTGCTCCAGAAATTGATGGCCCTGTTACTGCACAATGTCCCAGAATTAATGATTTGACAGCATTACATTGCAATCACAAAGAATAAAATACCACACACAGGGTTAAAGATAAGAATAATATATCTGATTTTGCACCTTTTGGCAACATCGAAGCACAAGCATCTCTATTAGAGAATTTCCCCGGTGAATTATACATTTCATCAGTACAAATGTCTCCATCCAAGTTGGATAATGAACTGCAATGATACAGCTTCCTCTTTTTAAATGGGAAATCCCTTTGAGATCTTTGGCGCTTGAAACCATTCTTCCCATCGTGATGAACATACTTCATGTCAGCATCTGATGACATCACTGCAATAGCAAATAATGACACCATATCAATGCACACATTCATAGACCAAGAAAAAGCACCCATTAAGACAAACTCACCAGTTTTAAAATGTTCCCCATCCTTCAGGTTTGGGGTTACTTTCCAATATTTAGATGCCAGTAATTTACGGA